TGGCTAGCATGAGTGAGGAACTGAATTTTTTATTTTATTTACTGTTAATGATTTTTTTTTATCCTCACCCAAGGATATATTTATTTTATTTAAAAAAATTTTTTTGCCTTTATTGATTTTAGAGAAAGAGGAAGTGAGAGGGAGAGAGAGATGGAAACATCAATGAGAGAGAACATTGATTGGCCGCCTCCTGCATGCCCCCCGCTGGGGATCAGGCCCACAACCTGGGCATGTGCCCTGACCAGGAATCGAACCGGTGACCTTTTGGTGCATGGGTCAACGCTCAGCCACTGAGCCACACCGGCCGGACAAGGATATATTTATTGATTTGAGAGAGAGAGAGAAACATTGATGTTAGAGAGAAACATCGATTGGTTGCCTTGCATTTGCACATCGACCACGGATTGAACCAACAACCTATGTATGTGCCCTGATAGGGAATCGAACCCACAACCTTTTTTTGGTGTACAGGGACAACGCTCCAACCAACTGAGCCATCCGGTGAGGGCTAATGAATTTAAATTTTAAAACTGAAGCAGTGTAAAATGTTTTCTATTAAATGTATTAAACACAACTTTTTGCTTTTGATAGAATTATGTTTCACATTAACCTAGCTTACAATGAGCTTTTATTATGAATAATGATAAATTTAATCAAATGCTTTTTCTACCTCTATTGAGATAGTATTATTTTACTTTAATCAATAACGTGCTGAATTACGTTGATTGCATTTTTATATAGATTTGGAAATGTTACTTCATTACTGAGTTCTTGGTGTAAACCCAACCTTGTCATAATGTATAATCTTTTCATGTATCAGATTTGCTCATTGTTTTTAGTAGTTTTACACGTATGTTCATGAGAGATATTGGTCTGAAATTTTTCCTTCTTGCAATATCCTTGTCAAGTTCTATTATCAAACGTATGCTAGCTTCATAACACAGGTTGCGAAGTGTTCCATTTTTCTCTATTCTCTGGAAGAGTTTTTCTTTTCTTTCTTTTTTTTCTTTTTTAACATTGGTGTTATTTCTTTTTTTTTTTTTTTTTTTATGGTACGTACCCCTAGCGGGAACCGAACCCGGGACTCTCCGGTCCTCAGGCCAATGCTCCAATTGCTGAGCCAAACTGGCCAGGGCGTGTTATTTCTTTTTTAAACATTTGGACATAAGTGAAGTCATCTAGCCTAGAATTTTTTGAAGGGTGGTTTCTAATTATGGACTCACTTTCTTGAATAGATATCATTATTCAGATTGTCTTTCTTATGACAGTTTTGATAAATCATGTTTTTCAATAAACTTGTCCATTTAACCTAATTTTCAAATTTATTGTCACAAAATAGTTTATATAATAGTTTACTACAGGACTATTTTATTTCAAATATTAGCAATTTATTTTATTTTTATTTTTTTTCTTGGACATTCTTCATAGGAGGTTATTAATTGTATTTGTCTATTTAAAGAACCAAAATTCTGCTTTGTTAATTTTCTATTTTATTTCTGCTTTGTCTTTATTGTCTTTCATAATCTCTCCTTGATTATTTTTTCCTTTTATTTTTTCCTTTTAGTTTCTTTAGACTCAGTTGGTGGTTCTTTTTCTAGCTTCTTGAATTAGAACTTGGAGCATTAATTCTCAACTTTTCTTTTGTATAATGTGTATACTTAAAGCTCTAAATTTCCCTCTAATCACTATGTTGGCTGCATCCTGGTCATTTTGTTATGCCTTTTTAAATCATCAGTTTAAATTTATTTTTAGTTCTTTAATCTATAGGTTATTAGAAAGTGTTGCTTCACCTGAGCTTTCCCATCTCCTGTTACTTTCTATTGCAGATTTTTAGCTTAATCTCACTATTGTCAGAACACATATGTATGATTTCAGTCCTTTGAATTTTGTTGATACTTACTCTATGGCTTGCTTGGCATAGCACCAACTTAGTCAATGTCCCATGGGCTCAGAGAAGAAAAATGTATATTCTCTAGTCCTTGGGGGTCTTGTACAAATGTATTAGTAGTGTTTGCTCAAATCTTCTGTATCCTTACAGGGTGTCATCTGTATTTCTGACCAACCAGCTATAAATAGGGCTTCCCACAACCCCCTCCTTTGGTTCAGTAATTTGCTGGGATAGCATAGAACTCAAAAACACTTTCACTTACCAGTTTATTACAAAGTACATAATAAAGGCTACAGATGAACAGCCTGATGAAGAGTTACAGCTGGTGAAGTCAGGAAGGGTCCCACGTACGAGAGCTTTTGTCCCCATGGAGCTGAAGTGCCACACCCTCCGAGCCTGAGGATGGGTTCGGGTTCGGATTAGGCTGCTGGATGTTGTGTCTATTACATAGTGTCTAGGTGTTGTTTCTTTATTTAAAGAATATTAAGTAGGCAGTAAAGAATGTATGGAAAGGCAGTCAAATACTTGCAGATAATTTATTCCTTCCAAGGCTTGTTCTTAAATGTATTCAGGTGAATGTAATAACCTTTACTGTAGGGCTCATGTATCCCTGTTACTAAGGTGGGACTCTTCTGTGGCCTCTACTAATGCCCCCTGTGTTGTTCTAACCTGGCTGGGGGTTTGGGGGACATGTGAACCTCTCCCTGTCCTGCTAGTTTTAGATACTATCTAGCCTATAACTCCCTAGCAGTGTTCTGCCCAGCCGTATGCAGTCTCTCTCTGCTTCTGTAGTTAACTGTTAAGCAGCCGACTCAAGGGGCCCTATGCTTATTGTTGAAGTTGTTTTTCTGCATAGCTCCGTCCTCTCCAGTGTTCTCCCTCACACCTTCCAGCTGCCCCAGCCCTCTCAAACTCTGATCTCTGTCTTTTCACCCAGTTAATCGCCTATGTTCTGTTAAGGTTCTTCCTAACAGCACTGTGCTCTGGAAGAAAGTGCCTCTAGGCAGAGGAAGCTATGGTGATTGTAGGACTTACCTCATTTGCTTCTGTTCTCACCTTTATCATAGTTCTATACTTCCCATTGTCCAATGCCTGGCAACAGCTGCTTCATATATTTTGTCCTGACTTCCAGGGCTTCATGGTGGGAGATCAGTCCCAGAATCAGTCTCTCCATTGTAGCCAGAGTGAAACAATGCTGCCAAGTTGTTTTTGTAATCTGTAAATGAAAAGTGAATGCCTAGAATGGATGGTTCTGTGATGGAAGAGGGTCCAGGGGACGAGATCCAGAGGCACCTGCAGAATGTCTGTAACTTTGCCAGAAGTTTAAGAAATGCATTATATTTGGAAACATGGTCTCCTTGATCTCAAAATGACTTTAATGGGAATATAAAATTTGCTTCTGAGAGTTAGAAAAAGTTTTATCCTAAGGTTTCTGTACTTTTTCCAATACCTGAAGGTGAATCAGGCGGTGTTCCTAGTAGTACAGATGGGTCACTTCAATCAGTGACCATGGTGAAACAGTGGCTGTTGCCCATGCTGATAACAACGCATATTTAAGCACCTCCAGTGAGCCAGGCACTGTGTTAGACTCTTCACAGTGATCATTTTTAACCTCATAATACAAATCTGCAAGTTAGAAAGTCATGATCCCCGGACCCTCAGGGAGGTAAAAGTTAATTCCTCAAGGCCCCTCACTCGCACTCAATTACCCAGTGGTAATTTATGGCGGCAACTGGGGAACAATCTCAGCTCAGCACTAACAACGCCTCCTTCCATTATTACGCGGCTCCCTGATCCTATCTTCACCTGAGCTTTCCCATCTGGCAAATTAAAGTGGAAAACAGTCAACTCCCTCCCCAGAGAGGCTGTTATTATATAGATGTTTTGCATTATTTTGCTTTGAATGACAGCATATGTCAGTGTGCTCCTGGAGGTTAAGATTATTCTTATTTTTTAAAACTTGGCCTCTCCCATTGGGGTAAATATTTGAAAATTATGGGGAGGGAGAGGCCGATTGGAGGGAATGTTAGCTGGCTTGGAATTGCTTCTCCCCTTTCCTCCCCACCCACCTTATATTTCTATTCAGATATAAGCTGCCACGGCAGAGTAAAAATTAGAAAATTTCTATCGCGGAGTTCTGGCTGGCTCTGGTACTCAGTGTCCAGAATGTGTTCATCTAGATATTAATCATTAACTCTGCATCAGGTTGATGTGCAGGGACAGATGTTCTTGCTGAAAAGAGTAAACGCCTCCTGCGGCCCCTGGAAGACTTTACCACACGTGGTCCCCAGCCAGGTCCCCAAGAGATTCTCGTGGACACGGGCCCTTTGCGGCCTCGAACCACGTACCTCTTGCTCAGAGGTCGCCATATGCCCTGGACGCTGGCTTTCCCGTGGGCCCTGCATTGTTGAGCCCTCCCTGTCTCAAACTGCCTTTCCTGGCATTTGAATCATCACTTCGATGATGTGATAATATCTGCAAGTTGGGAAAATAAAAGTGGCATTTGTTTAGCCATAATTAATGAAATATTTATGTTGCATGAGACTATGTGATAAAACCTTAGGCTTAGAGTCCTTTTGCTTCTGATTACATTTGGGATTTTTTTTCTATGACCAGACATTCTGACGCCAGCTCTTTTACACTGAGCAGATGTCATGTAGTAAAAATGGGTACCAGATGCTGTGAGCCGCAGAAAGGCGATTTGTTTAAGAGCTGGCTCCGACTTTTTTGCATTCAATTACTCTGCAGAACAAACCTTACACAAGCATTTAGGTAACTCAGCTAACTTCAGACAAGCATTTTAATAATAGATTTCATCTCTGAACGCATTCAAACAACACAGCATATAAATGGTGTTTAAGGAATTAATTGATTTCTACATAATACCTTTATTTTTAATGTGAAGAGAGAGCTGCAAAGCTCTTGGCAGGAACCCAGAAATGTAATTAACGTGGAGGGCCAAATTAGTTGCCCTTAGGTACTGCCTCCTCCTGCTCATGGCAGGTGCAGTGAGGGGGGGCAGGGAGGAGGAGAACGGGGAGGGGGGCAGCTTTGGGTCACTAAGTAAGAAAAGAAGCTAGAAGTTCAGTGAGTCCTTGTGTTCCCCTTGCAGGTCTCAAGCACACCCCCATCAGGGCGCAGGTGACAGGGGCTGCCTCTTCCACCACCTCCTCCTCCGCAGATGAAGAGTTTGATCCCCAGCTTTCCCTGCGGTCAAAGGTAACGACACTTGGCAAACCCAAGGGGGCCTTGGCTTGTGGGGCTGTTTACCCTCCAGACCCGAGACCAGTGTGGACTCCAGCTGCAGTGGCTTCATTAGCAGGATCACGTTTCAGTGCATCTGACAGCAACTGCTTTTTTTTTTCTTACCTGGGATACCCCAAGAATTATCTTTTTTTTTATTTTTATTGTTGTTATTAGCTTTTATGAGCTTGCCTTTCTCGGAGATGTAAAACTGGGGAGGGAAAAAAAATAGACGTATTTACTTGAAACCATTTGGTGACTACAGCTCTTAAAAGTGGGTTTAATTTGTGGTCCAACAAGCAAACTATTGAAAAAATTACGACAAGCGGATGCATCGTTCCCTGGGGGGAGCACAGCTTCATTTAGGAAGCACTGGAAGCAGACTGCATAGGAAATGCTACGTTTATTCTAATCAGAAATGCGGAAGAAGCCACGCAGTTGCTTGTAGGTGTGGATGCTCTGAGGGCCCTGCCGTGGAGGGGACCCGCTGCGCCCGGCTGGGGCCGCAGCAGAGTCCTCTCCTGGCTGAAGGAACATTAACCTGTTAACCGAGCGGGACGTATAAATACGTCAAACGTTGCATACCGTAAAAAGGGAATTCCCTGGTTATTCCCCGGGTAACAGGTTAATATTTCTGGAGAACACTTGGAACAACTCCCATACACACAGACTAAAACCCACAAACAGTGTTATATGCTTTAAACGTACCTGTATGTCACAGACACAGAGACACACATTCTGGACCAAAGCTCACTATTGTTTTGTTGTTTTTTATCCACCGGGGCCAGTGCGGTTTCACTGGGGCTGGGGTGCTGAATGGATGGATTTAAAATGCGACCCAGGGGATAGAGACGCAGCTCCCTGCTCCGGCGGTGTTTACTGGGGGGGCGGGCAGTAAGGATATGAGAAGAAACAGAGAGAAGTAGATTAATTTATTTAGACTCAACTTTTCCATATCTGGCACTCGGCGCTTTGGCATCATCTCCAGTCACTCAGGGGATCCAGCTCCCCGTGACCCAGCCTGGAGCAAGTCAGGAGGGGGCTGGGGCCTGGCTGAGTGTGTGTGTGAGGGAGGGAGGGAGCGAGAGAGAATGAGAATGAGAGAACATGTATGGACTTCTAACGTCGTAACTGTGGGCGTCTCTGGTTAGTTTGTTACTCAACACAAATGAATTCTATGTGTGTGTTGATCTCTGGGATTTCCTTCCTGCCCCTTTCATCTTTTTGAGTGACCCTGAGTTACCTCTGTCTTCAAAGGAGGCAGAGGCCCCAGCACCAGCCACCCTGACACTTATGGAAAAGAGAATGGAGTGGCCCAAAACACCGAAATAGCAAGACCCTGAGATGTAGGGTGAGCCCCGCAGGCAGCACCTCGTCCTTGCAGAGAGCACCAGCCCTCCGCCAGGGGCAGCAAGGGAAGCCTGCCCGCCTCCCCAGGCCCCCACGTGTCCGCTCCTACAGGGAACAGAGCCGCCTGAGGACTTCCCAAGGGCTCACAGTGCAGGAACCAGGGGAGTTTCCCCCCTCTGTTTTTTAATCTCTTCTTTCCCATACAGGTGTGTCCCCAGACATGTGCCCAGAGACCAGGTCAGCTCAAATAAGTTTTTGTGTAAGAAACAGGAGACAGGATATGCACACTCTACCTCTTCCCTTTGCTCTGCGCCTCCCCAATGTCTCTGCTCCCAAACGGTGCCTGGATCCCAGAGACTGGGGCCGGCAGCTGGTCCTGGTCCTGCCAGGGCCCTCCTTTCTCTCTCTGGCCTTGACTTTTTCTTCTTGAGCCCTTAGCCTCTTTCTTTTCCTCTGTGTGCCGTCATCACCATCACGGAGGGTGTAAGAACGGTGCCTGGCACGCCGTAAGGCTCCCCGCGTGTTCAGGAAGCACCCTCCATTTCTGTGTCGGCATCTTTTCATAAAAAGGTGAAGGACTTTCTTCCTCCTGCAGGTGCTGCTCTGCTGATTGGTAAAGCCATGGGCCAGGCGGCCCTGCTGCTGGGGTGGGCTGAGACGGCGCGATGCTGTTGATGCATCCTCCCTTAAAATTGTAGTCAATGGTCTTAATTCAGGGGGAAACGTTGCCATTTCTATAAAGCAGGAGTCCTTGTTGTGCCTACACAGTACCTGGCACAGGAAAGGTAGGACGGACTAGACGAAAACATGGAGGCTGGACTCAGGTGACCCAGGCTTACCTCCCGGCTCTACTAGTTACTAACTGTGTGTCGTCTTGGGCCAGTTATGTAACATCTCTGAGTTTTCATTTCCTTTATCTATAAAATAAAGTCTAATTTGAGGGGTAATTAAGATGATACATCTGAACGAATCAGTACAGTGTCTAGCACATAACACTCAATAAACGCTGGGATTTATTATGTAGGTTAGTAGACTGTAAACTCAAGAGGTAGTTGTTAAATAAATGAACTGACTCTCTATAGATTGAGTTAGACAGTCTCTGGATAACAATTACTAGTGATCTCCACCCCGCCCCACCCTAGCCTTTCCAGAAAGGCCCTGGCTGCCTACTAGAGAGGTTCCCCCACCCTAACGTCCCAGAACCTCTGCTCAGAGTGATGGCCAGTCAGTCTGGAATTCCTCCCCTAGAAATAGCAATGATATGATAGGGAATCGGTTTCAGTTCCGAGAGCCAAAATTTCCTTCCAAGAATGAGGGAGAGCATGAGACCTTAAGGATTCTAGATCCTAAAGGGAATTCTGTAAAAACCAGGTTTCATCATTGAGATAAATGTTTTCACTGACGGTCTGTGGACATCCAGAACGCTGAAGCTGGGTGCCTTCCCAAGGAGAGTGATGGTCTCTCGGTAGAATGGGCGTCAGAAGGACAAGGATCCCTGAAGCCCTGGAAAGAGTCGTGCTTTTGAGGCTCAACCGCTAACCTCTGTTATGGACCGGATTCCTCCGGCAGTATCTGGGGCCAGGCCTGTTAGGTCTTCTCCCCACTTGTGGATGTACTAACTTTAACGGACAAACTTTCAGTTCAGTCACAGTTGTTGAATACCCCGGCGCCAGCCGAGCCCTAATAACTTTTTAATTCCGTATTCATTCCTGCCAGCATTAAAAAGGAATCTCTAGCATGCTCTAATCTTCGTGCTACTATAGGAAATTAATCTGTATGCTCAGATACAGATTAATAAAACTAGCCCATAATAAAAAAATTAATAAACTAACTCATAATAAAACTAGCCCAGTTTAAACATTTATTTTGTGTATGCAGGATGTATACATACATATAATATATGTACTCCTGCATACATACACACATAATAGATAAAATAATAATAGATTTTAGTAAAGAATTATAATCATGCTAATTTATAATATGATAATGATGCTAATAATAATAAAAATCATAGTACGTACTGAATTTCTATCCTACATCTTTATCAAGTATTCTGCAAAGGGCTTGACCCACCTTATCTCATTTCATCCTTATCACAGCCCTACAGGGTAGGCATTAAATCATTCATCACCCTGAAGAGGACGCTGAAGTTCAGAAAGTGTGTGACGTGTGAAGCGCACGTAGCTCAGCGGGGCATCGATGTAGCTTCACACGGCCTCCTGCCCATGTCCACCGTTATCCTCTGCGGTCTCTCTAATCAGAAGTGTCTCTTGAACCTTCCAAGACATGGAGCTGGTCACACCGCTGCTGCCCCTTTCTCTGGTGTCTAAAGCCTGGAAACAGCACCCTCAAGATGCAGACGTGTATTTTAAGTGCATTCATTCAGAAGTGCTGTGTTCATGAGGCCAGGCACAGGGAGCCCGGTGGTACTACCGATCCATCTGTAGAGCAACGTCAAGTAGGGAAGAGAAATGATCTCACACCTCTCTCTAGCCAAGAAACCTTTTTATTTGAATTAGATTTGCTCCTCTATTCCCAGGTTTAATTAGGCAATGTAGACCTAACCTAAGTACTATTTAAAGTTGCTAACTGCTTTTTAGGTAGTATACGTGTGTGTGTGTCCCAGGCTCATTATCTCTGGGCCTTATGGTAGCACCTGTAGAGAGCATAGTTCTTATATTATTCCTTCCTTCAAATGAACCAAAAACCACTCCCAACCACATACCTACACACACACACACACATGACATACATAATACCAGTTTCCCAATCTAGCACCTACTAGCCACATGTGGCTACTTAAATTTACATTTAAACTCATTAAAATGAAACAAAATTTAAAATTAAATTTCTTAATCACATTAGCATCATTGCCAGTGTCCAATAGCCCCATGTGGGCTCCCATATTTCAACAGCACGTGGAACATTCCTGTCACTGTAGACGGTTCTATTGGATGTCATTGTTCCAGAAGCTAAGCAGTGGTTTGGTTGCAGAGGGCAGAAGCCTATGACAGCATTTTGTAAGTTTCAAGCCTGTTTTCTCAGATGTATTTTTTTCTTCTCTGTTGGGTTTTTATAGGAGAGGAAGACACTTAGAAGAAGGAAGAAGCTGGAAAAAGCAACAAAGCAATTGGTTAAGCAAGAAGAGTTAAAAAGACTTCATAAAGCTCAGGTCAGAAAACAAACCTGATATGAGTGAGTGGGTCTGGGATTCTGGGAAGCTGGATCTGAAAGCCCTTTGGAAGTCTGCACTGCACTGGGGAGGTGGGCTGGAGAAAGGTCATCTTCTCTGAGTGACCAGGTTTGTGGCCATTGTAAAGGTGCCGGCTCAGCCCTGCCGGTGTGGCTCAGTGGACTGAGCATGTCCCATGGACGGAGAGGTCCCGGTTCGATTCCCAGTCAGGGCACATGCCCAGGTTGCCGGCTCCATTCCCAGGAGGGGGCGTGTAGGAGGCAGCCGATTGATGTATCTCTTTCACATTGATGTTTCTATCTCTTTCTCCCTTGCCCTCTCTCCAAAAAAAAAAAAAAAAAATCAATAACATCATATTTAAGAAAATAAATAATAAAGGTGCTGGCTCAATCCCTGGTGGGTCTCTGGGGCCTGGAGAGCCCAGGTGTTGACCAGGCCGACTCCCAAACACCGTTCCGTCTGCAGATGTGTTTCCAGCAAAGTGAGCTGAAATGACAGCCAGCACATGGCTTCGAAGCGGCCTGGACTGCCACAGAGCAGTCTGAGGACACACCTTCCCTCAGCTTCCTGCCAGTGTCTTTCCGGACTGACAACTCTTAGGGGCTGTCTCGGTCTCAGAATCATGCGACCAGCATCGCAATATAGATTTCCCGCCTGCTCCTGGCATTCCTGCCCACGTTGATCTGCCACCTCCGTCACAGATGGGCACCATGAGGCAGAATGGAGCGCATCCTCTCGCTCCCTGAGGACCCCCATCCTGGCCTTGGAAAACAGTTAGGTTTTAGGACAGAAGGACTTAGAATGACCATATTATTCCAGTGTACCCTTCCGTCCTTTGGTGATTCACTTCATCCAGCCATCGGTCCTCTGAGTTGTTTCTGAGAAGGAGGAGGTCGTTTTATCCAACCTCCTTTACCTTTCACAGTGACTGTCCTGGGAGCTGACCTTTCACCTGGTGAACAGGGAAAATTCCCATCAGCGTCCTCTGTCTGCTCTCAACTTCTAAAACAGGTTTCTTTGAAACATTTCAACTTTCCCTTCTGAGAACAAGATAAGTCTCTTTTTTGTTGTTTTTACTTGATTTTAGAGAGCGAGAGGTCAGGACAGGAGAGAGAGAGAGAGATTTGTTATTGCACTTATTCATGCATTCACTGTGCCCTGACTGGGGATCGAACCCACAGCCTTGGTGTAGCAGGACGACACACTAACCAACTGAACTACTTGGCCAGGACCAAAGAATGAGAAAAGTCTTTATGATATGGGTTGGGGAGCTCAGCAATTTCCCCTGCTTATATTTTCGCTCTAGACCATAGGTGGCAATAAGAGAAGAATTACAATGGCCTTTTGAGTCTTAATTTGCATTCCTTTTTAATCTCTGAGACTTTCAGCCTTCGTTTCTAAAGAATGACCACTATATTAGCTAGCTTGGGCTGCCATAACAACATACCACAGAGTGGGTGGTTTAAACAACAAAAATCCCCTCCTAGTTCTGGAGGCTCAAAGCCCAAGGTCAAGGTGCCTTCAGGGTGGGTTTCTGGTGAGGACTCTCTTCCTGGCTTATAGACAGCAGACCCGCTGTGTCCTCACATGGCCTGTTTTCTGTGCACATGCAGAGAAAGAGAGATCCATCTCTGGTGTCTCTTCGTCCTCTTTTAAGGATGTCAGTCCTATCAGATTAAGGTCCCACCCTCATGACCTCATTTAACCTTTTAACCTCCTTTAAGGCTCTAAATACAGTCACTTTGGGAGTTTGGACTTCAGCATATGAATGGGGGTGGAGGGACTCTACTTACTCCATAACAACCCCACAGCCATAATTACAAAGTAATCAGTAATAAAGTTATTTAAATGTTTTCTTTCCTTTTGCAATTCTACGCCATGCCAGCAAGAGACCGATTTATAAAGATATAATTATCTTTAAAAGAAAGAGAGGAAGGGGGCATGAAATTACAAGTTGTTTTAGATATAATTCCCATCTATTTTAGATTTTGTGTTTGGGCTTAAACACTCTTAGTTGGCACAAAAGCAGCCAGGTGGTCAGGCCGCACCCCTGCTTGGGCCCCTTCACGGGGCTGGAGAAGCTTTGGCTATTGTGCCCCTGAATCCAGGGGAGACTTAGAAAGGTGTGCAGGTGAGGAGGAAGGGGAGTGAGATGAAGCTGGAGTGATGTAGAGGAGGAAGAATGCACACATACTACCAGCCCCAGCTGCCCGCTCCTTCATATACCTGGCCTGCCAGGTGCAAAGCCTGTTCTGCCCAGAGAAATGCCTTTTGGCAGCGTGGTGTCTGAAAACAGAGAACATTGACGGGATGAGCAGAATCTGCACAGGAAAGCCCCCCCCCCCCCCCCCATTTTTCTTCCTTAGATAGAAATAGCTGGTAGGGAAAGTAAAATGAAAATGCAAACCCACTCATGACTCCAAACCTTAATAGGTGCCCGTGGTGAGTCTAAGGAGGATGAGAGGTTATCACTTAGTAGGATAAACATCTTGTGTCTTAATAACCTGCTAGTATCAAAGCTAACATACAGTTCCGTAGTAAAGCCCCCGCCCCCGGGCATTAGCCCCGTGGTGCCGTGAAGGAATAGGTGCAACCTGTAGCCGAGGACGGGAGCCAGACAACCAGGAAAGGAGCACCCAGCTCCAAGTCGGCCCAGGTCTACTCCAGACCAGCTTCTGGGAGGGATCTGCGTGTTCTCCTGGGGAAACAGAATGTGAGCGTGCTCTGTGTGCACCCCCGAACCCCTGTCCTTTTCTGAGCAGTGGCTGCAGCCCCAGTCCGGCCATGACCATGGTCAGAGGCTGAGGAGTCCAGGGGCCTGGCAGCCTCTGCCTGAGACACGCCTGTGGGACTGGCCCGGTCAAAGGGGACTATTTTAACGTCCACTGGGGGCAAACTGAGCTGACCCACGGACTCCTTACTTTATGTCTTCGTGCTAAAGAAGGGAAATGTGAAGTTCTGTTTGGGTATTCGGAGGTCCTGACCCAGTTCATAAGGGAGGTTATGTCACATGGGAAAGGGCTGCTTCCTCTTGGAAATAAGTCTCAGAACTGGCCCCTCATGTGACTCTGCTCACCGAGCGTCCCCATGTGACCGAAGACCCTGGCATTGCAGGCCATCCAGAGGCAGCTGGAGGAGGTGGAGGAGCGGCAGAGGGCTTCCGAGATCCAGGGCGTGAGGCTGGAGAAGGCGCTGAGAGGAGAAGCAGGTAGGCTTCCCGAAGGTCCGCAGCCGCCCGGCCGTGGCTGTGGTCGGAGAACCGTGCTGCTCTGACCGGCTGGGCAAAGCGGAGAGACCCCGTCCGCGCCGTGATCGCTCGGCGTCGACAGTGTGCAGTCTGCAGTGCTTCGCGCGTCCACCATCAACCCCGCAGTCCCATCTGGAATTCCCAGGGCCACTGGGAGGCTGTGGGCCCGGCCACTGGGCTTCTGGTCTCCCAGGTATCTGCTAGTGCAACTGCTCTTTGCGAGTCAGGGTTAGGATCAATTCAGGAGGAATATTTGGGCATTCAGGCAATGTTCATAGTGATTCAAAGCCCAGATTTAAAGTAAAAATCCTGGTTTCTCACTTTACTCACTGTGTGATCTTGGGCCAGTCACATTTTAAATCTTTATGGACTAAGTTTGTTCCCCTAAAATGGAGATAATAGTGGTTTTCTAGCTTATAGAGCTGATGTAATAATTAAGAAGAAATTTTATATGGATATATCTATATAGACATTTCTCTGTATATGCACACATACACACACACACACATACATACATACATATACACATAAAGATGCACATATATAAGTCAGCACATTGCCTGGCACAGGTAATGCACTAAATGGTAACTATTCTACCGGTAGCTTCAGATTCTCATATCCAAAGAAAATTCATCTGGTGAAGACCAACCATGTGTTGGACGTGAAGGCAGTGAGTCCAGGATGATGACTATGATAGTTTCTGCCTTTGAGAACGTTATAGTCCATCGAAGGACACAGACATGTAGAGAGATGAACCACAGTACAGGAGGACAAGTGCTGTGATAGGGACACGCACTGGGTGCAGGGGAACAGGATCCAGAGGCTCCTCACTGAGCCCGGGAGAGGGGCGGTCAGGCAGGGTCCCGGATGGGGTGACCTATCCAGATGAGAACCAGAGGGCACAGGAGTTGACCGTGCGGCGCGGGGGCTGCTCTGCAGAGGGAGCCGCACCTGCAAAGGCCAGATGTGGAAAGACGGGAAATGCCCTCGCAAACGAGGAGCCAGCCAAGGGCTCTGGGATGAGGGGTGACCAAGAACTCCACCCCGTTTTGGAAACCATCCAGCATCTGTGTGGCTCGTGAATTGGAGGGGCCCTTAGAGTTTGTGGGAAGCATTGTCCCTTTAGCTTTGTGACAGGATGTCTTCAGTCTTTTCTATTTTGGATATCAAGTGTGAAAAACACACACACTGAAAACACACCTCTCACTGCGCAACCATGAAAATGTGTTACTGGTTAAACGACATGGCGAAAGCTTAGGGTTTCAACTCCCTGAAAAGTTCAGTTATCCAAGACTGATGGTACCAGCAGGGGCAGATGCACATTTTGTGAGGCCAGACGGTCCTACAGAGTCACGCCTGCGAACTTGAGAGAGCCGCTCCCAGCCTTGCAAGGGGCCGTCCAAGTGAGGGGCCCCGTGGGTTCAGCTTTAGCAGCTGTCTGGACAACAGGGAAATGTTGGAGCCTGACTTTACCCCTCTGTGCCTCAGTTTCCTTGTTTGTAAAGTAAGAGTGATAATTATATGTTTCTTGGATTCATAGTGAGGATTGGCTTAAACAATTTATGTTGAAGCCCTAGCATGGTGCCTGATTATGGGATGGATAATAAATATTTGTTCCTTTTCTTACTAAAATACACTATGCATTTCCTTGCAAAGAAAACCCAAATGCACTCACCAGAGGTAGGTTTCATTACAAAAACGACAACGGTTTCTTGCTGCTCGGAGTGAGCGTTGCTGCCTGTCTTTACAGCTGCTCTTGTTTGATGTTTGGGCATACCAGCCCATCAAGAAAGCTCTGGAACTTTTCTCCGGGCATCCATTGACTTCAGCGAGAGCACTAGCAATAAAAAGGAGAAACCAGCAAAGCTGTTTCAGTTTGCTAAGGGGGCAGGCAGTGTGGCATCACGGGGCCAGCAGACTGTAGGAGTCCTGCGTGCAAACTCCGTTCCTTTGCATTTAGGGTGCATGCTCCCAGGAAAACCTCTTAACCTCTCTGGTCCCACGTTCCTTATCTGGAGAATGGAGCTCATACTCTCCACATTACCAGGCCATTTTGAGAATGAAGGGTGTCGGTGGGCAGAGTGTCTCCCAGAGTATAGGCAATGAATGCTACCTGCTAGTATTTCTCGGAACACTGACATCCACATACATACACTTCAGAGAACTGACTCTCTAATCTTCACTGTTTGAGACTGAAATCCTAGAAACCAAGTTTTTAACACTTCTGAAAACCTCCCTCACCCCAATGTAAAGAAAGGCTATTTTGAATTATTAGCTAAGGAAACACAGCTTGCGGTGTTTTTAAAGGTGTGCTAACCTGGTCGGAAGATGGATGCCACTCATTCTCCTTACATCCTTGGTAATTTAATCCTCCTGTTGAGTTTATGGGCCTTTTCCCCCTCGATTGTCCTTGTGTGGGTGGCAGATGCGAATTGACCAGGGGCTAAGGACTATGAGTCAGGTCCTGGAGAGCAGCCCCAAAGGAGACCTTATAGAAGATTTGCGAACCAGGCGTCAAAATTAATACACTGTAACTTGTAATAACATTTGTGCAATAATAATGTTCCTTTGCAGTTTGATATTCTATTCAGCCCCTTTAAGAGATTGCCCTGGTGCTTAATGAATGACCAATGCTTATTAGGTTAAGCTGTATTTGAGCCGGCCTGTGCTGCTCTGGTTCAAGTCATTTAATGGGAATTATTTAATAGGTATTATTAGGATAATTAGAAAATGATCACAGTTAGGCAATAATATTGAGCTATAAAGGTTGTGAATAACCAAATTTAGAGACAGGCCTGAAAACACGAGTAGTCTGCGACAGTTATGCAAGTCTCCTCTAATAATGATGTGCGCCAGCCTGAAAGGGTCTTTTGTTCCTAGGAGTTATTCATTAGGCGGGCATTGAATTAGAGGAACATGCGGGGGTGCAGGACGCAGGGCAGTGATGGCTGATGAGCAAAATGAGGCTTTGATGAGCCTCCTAATTGTTGTGACAACAATTCCTGCTTTCTTTTTTTTTTTTTTTTTTTTTCCAACAGTCAGAAATAAGCTTCCCCACCCCCAGGAAGGGCTTCCCCCCATTTTGTCAAGGAAAGGAAAACAAAAATCCAAGACTCCCCCCAGAAGACAAGTCATTATGTTCTGTAGGGGTGTGTGTGTGTGTGTGTGTTATAGATAGATGTCCTTGACAAAGGGAATGCAGTCCCCTGGTGGTCCTGGCTGCCCAGAGTAAAGGACCAGGACACGCAGTGTCCTGTCACCCTGGGCTCCACCTTCTGTAAGGAGGCCAATCGGAGCTTTGCCAGCCACTTAGATTCTTCTTAATTAAGGCCCTGTTCCCTGCTGGTTTGTTGGTTGTCAATGCAGTGGTCAGTGTGATGTGCTGGGGTCATGGAATACTCCATTTTAACAAGAGACCATCGTTCAAATTTAGATGGCCTGGATGACAGAATTTGTTCTGTCAATACCTAGAGAAAGGTGAAATCTGATGAAAACTGTGACTTTGAAGGAGAAAGAAATTATCCCCAAGAGAGGTGTATGGGAATTATCCCTGTCTTATAAATTTACCAGCTCCTGGGAAGGTTTACCAGCTAGCTGTCTGCATTGAGCTTCTTGACATTTTTTTTTTTTTTAAGCCAGATGGCTTTTCCATCATATAGAGGGGTTTACAAAGGAATAGCAGGATACACGAGGCTGCCAGCAGGTGGCGGTAGGGGCACATATTATGATGAGAAACTGCCGTGAAATCCTAGCCAGGAAGAGGGAAGTAGTTTGGCTTATACTCTGTGGTTTTTATTTTGACTGAGGAACAGAAGGAATAATAATTTCCTGGATAATGTAATGGTGAGGTGTCCTAAAAAAGAACAGAGATATTAGAGTCAGACACTCCTGAGTTTGAATCTCGATGCCCTTCATAGAGAATGGCAAGGAGTAAAGAGACCCCCAAAGAGATGGCTCTGCAGGTAAGGAATTCGGGTTGGTTTGCCACAACTCTGACGCAATTAAAGTTGGGCATGCCTGCATTCGAATCCCAAGGTGGTCATTGTATAACAATTACCTCTTTTCAAAACTTTCTTATTGTAAAACAGACTGATACCAACCTTATAGGCATGGTTTGAAGGAAATACTAAATGCAATGATGTTAGTAAAGCAACTAAAAAACCTGCCTGGCATATAAGAGGTGTTCAAAAATATTAATTTCTCCTCTTTTCTTTCTTTCCTCCTCCTCCTCCTTTTTTTTTTTTTTGTTGTTGTTGTTGTTGTTGTTGCTTAATTCCTTCACCTTTTTCATCCAACCCTCTTCCCCTCTAACAGTCTGTTCTCTGTATCTATGAGTCTGTTTCTATTTTGTTGTTCATTAGATTCCACATGTAAGTGAGGTCATGTAATACTTGTCTTTCCCTGACTGGCTTATTTCACGAAACATAATACTCTCCAGGTCCCTCCATGCTGTTGCAAATAGTAAGATGTCCTTTTTCATGGCTGAGTAGGATTCCATTGTGTGAATGTACCATGGCTTGTTTACCCACTCGTCTACTGATAGACACTCAGCCTGCTTCCAGATCTTGGCTGTTGTCAGTAACATTGCAATGAACATACCTCTTTTCTTTCATATTCCTATCATTAGAGGGTCAACAATTTTTCACATTATATTTATTTATTTATTTGTTCAATAGTTCACATTCCTTCAAAACTACACTCCCTAGAAGACATTTAAACTAGTTTCTATAAATGTATATAAGACATGAATTTCACCTGCCTGGTCCCCATTAGGGTCTCAATGTAGACTCATGCTGTTACCGCCAAAACAATGCAATAAGAGCAGGTTAACACAGAGAAGCAAACACTGTGGTCCTGAGGCATGCCTCTCTGACAGCATGCCATAATTTGGGGCTAGATTTCGGGGGACGAACATCCTTTAGGTGACCTTCCACAGTGATGTGTTCCCTACCTGGTTTGTC